GAGCCAAACGGCTGGCTCACTGCTGCCAACTAGTRGTCAAGAGGCTGAACTAAAACATAAAAATGAACGGCTGGCAGGAAAGTTGACGTTTTAAACCTTAATAAAAAAAATCGATACAGGGCTTTAGAATATCGATACAGYATCGGGAAATGAAATATCGCGATATTTTAGTATATCGATATTTTCTTACACCCCCTACCAAAAAGGCCTTGAAAAGGCCCATGAACCACCAGTTGATAATCACAGCTGTAGTTTGTTTTGCAGCTCTGGACACATTTTATTAGTGAGCCAAGTAGCATAAATGGCTCTTTTGATCAAAAAGGTTGCAGACCCCTCTATGAGGACTTCTTGCTTACTACGTACCCCATCCAATGGCTGGAGCTGTGGCTGTCCAAATAAACATACAAGAAAGAGCTGAAGCAAGACGGATCTTGTTTATCACATCAACAAGTGCTTTCAGTTGACATTATTTCAGAGTTTCATTTATACTCTGCCAAGTGCGTATCAGTGCTTGTGAGCCGGATACAAAAACAAGTAAATGAGGGGCCTGTAAAACTACAGTTTTTTTTGGAATTTGGAGCTTTTGAAGACAGATCACAAATCACCACATACCACAGAAACAACTTTTACTACAAACCACATTGTTTTTGTTTGCTTGCTTTTTCAGTCAAACTAAAAATACATACTTAAAGACTATAAATGTTGCCAAAAATGTCTATGGACAAAAAGAAAAAAATTTAAAAAAAACATTGTGCCCCAGTCTTTGTTCTTAAAAGAGAAAAAAAAACATGTATATAAAAACACCATRCATAAACTGTATTTAGGAGTAAATATACTTATTTGACAAAAGTTTGGTAGTACTGAGGCTAAAAAAGAAGATAACRTGATAGAACACCTTAATGAACAACAACGGATTACATTTCCCCCTGTTCCCTCCCTCCTACCCGGTGTAGTGAGGCGGATAAACTTTTCGCCCCCACCGACACCCGCAGCTTCATAGCCGCTAACTCCTTCCTCCCCAGTTTTACAACTACTTAAATATCCAAACTGACCTTGAAGGAGCTCCCCCCGGGTCAAACGGACATTATTATATTGTCTTCTTCCATGGCTGGGAGTTCTTTGACTTGTTCTTCGGGTTTACCAAAGAAAGAGGCACAAACGCTCGGGTGCTGCTGCTGGAAAAGCTACAAACTCGGACGGGGATAAAAAAAGGGGGCGGAGGCCTGAGAGAACGAGGCCAGACAGTCTGCTGCCTGGTCATTGGATGAGCCAGCTGTCAATCACCTGCCRGAGTAGGCGGGTCTTATAAAGATCACATGGGGAAGAAAAGGAATGTGGTGTAGAAAAAAGCTCATTTGAGGTCTCAAAACACAAAACAACTAGAAAATTTGAATTTTCTGTGAAAATTCAGTGTGATGCTGAGTGATGAGTGACGTTGTTGAAATTTGCTGAAGAAGCTGTAATTGAGTTGATAAAGCTGAAAGAAGAAGAACTCTAGCTGAAAGTTAAAAGGAGCAATTTGCTGCTTAAAAAAAGCAAAAGTGGCTAAAATTTGCTAACTGCTGGCTAAAAACTTGCTGAAAGTAGCAAAATGATATCTAAAAGCATAAGACAAAATAGAGGAAGCAGATTTCAAAGAAAATGTTTTTAAAGAGGCCCTGTGATGGACTTGCGACCTGTCCAGGGTGTACCCCGCCCCTCGCACTGTGACTGCTGGATATGGGCACCAGTGACCCACGCAACCCTGAAAAGGAAGAAGCGTGTACAGAAAATGGATGGATGGATGGATGTTTTTAAAGATACTGCATACATCTAAATATATTTCAATGGGAAAATATTTGTAAATTAAGTTGTTTTTTATAAGAAAGTTGCAAAAATTGAAAGTCATAGCACCCATATCCTAAATGAACTTAACTAATCTCTAAAGACAATAAATAAGGTATAATAANAGCAATTTGCTGCTTAAAAAAAGCAAAAGTGGCTAAAATTTGCTAACTGCTGGCTAAAAACTTGCTGAAAGTAGCAAAATGATAGCTAAAAGCATAAGACAAAATAGAATGAAAATGTTTTTAAAGATACTGCATACATCTAAATGTATTTCTATGGGAAAATATTTGTAAATTAAGTTGTTTTTTATAAGAAAGTTGCAAAAATTGAAAGTCATAGCACCCATCTCCTAAATGAACTTAACTAATCTCTAAAGACAATAAATAAGGTATAATAATAACTGAATACACAAATGCTCTGTTACTCCACATATGCATCACATGCAGATCCAGACTCTCAAATACTTCATTAAAACAAGCTACAATCAAATTTATAGTGCAGATCTTTTTTGCACTATGGCTCTAAAAACAGTTTCTCTGTGTTTTACTCCAATGTAGTTAAAAAATATGATCTTGTTTTCAGAGCTGGAGCTCATTCACTTCATTTATTTGACTCACCTGTTATTTACCGAGTACACAAACTAATAAAATGCATCCACTGATCAGTGCTCGGGCATAAAATAAATAGAACGACAGTCACATTTCATTATCGGAGGAAGTGACCTTTTGTTCCTCCGTGATGAATGCTAATGGCAGTGGGAAAACATCTGTTATTGTCATGGAAGCTAATAAAACACCTCTGTTTTCTCAAATGTAATATTTGCTCGCAAACAAAATTAGATTCCATCACAAATTATAGGAGGTATGAATAACTGACGAATACTTAAGAAGCCATAGTTCATCATGTGACTGCAACTGTAATGAAAATTAAGATGGATTTTTATCCTTGAAGTGACTATAAAAATATGTGTGCCTCACAGCAGAAGCAGATCTGGGCTCTATTTATGTCTAATCGTTTGTAAAAAGGACTCTGACCTCTGACCCATATCCCTTTTGAGCAGCAACAACCACCAGTGACGCAACCTCTCACTTAGTTTTACTATTAACAGGGAAAACAAGAGTAGCCTGAAAGATTCCAGTCCATTCATCAGGCAAACAAAACTGACATCACTTATCCCGCTGATACGGGGATTTCCAGTTTCCAGCGGGTTCACAGTTCCAGTTCACTGACTCCGACCTCTTTGGTAATGAACAGAAGCAGAAAAATACCGTATTAGATGCATTAGAGCAACTGTCACAAACAAGAATGGATGACACATACTGAATTAGCTTATGTTCATTGAATATTTAATGTACTTTTTGTCTAAATTCCTTTTTTTTTTCATTAAATGGTTTTGAAACGACTAGAGTACAAATGTGCCAAAAAACAAACAAACAAACAAACAACTTAATCTTCTTCTGATGAGTCATCATGCATGTTAATTGAAATCCTGTGTTGTTTGGGCTGCAGTTATTTGTAGCATGGTTGGACTGCAGGTGTTKCTTTTGTTTTCAGACCATCTACAGGACTCTTTTATTTTCATTTATCAGTTTGGATGCTGAATTTGTTYGCCTGTCCAGATGCACATGAGCCATCACAACGGTCAGTCAGTTCCTGCCWGGCTGGCTGTAGTCTCATCACAAATAGCAGACAGGTGTGGGCTAGATCTGGCAATGATGCTGTGTTATTTAT